ACTGATTTGTAAATGTGAAAGCAGTATATTTGTCGTAGATAGTGTGTGTATATATAACAATGGCCTTATGTCGTTAGAATTTCTAATTACAACTTTTGAATTTAGTTTTTGTAAAATGTTACTTGAATCATTGACATATTTCAAAAATATACAATCTATTATTATTAAAAGCCCTAAAACGTAGTGGCGCTGACGTATGCAGACAGCTGTGTGTAAATGTGGTTCACAGCTGGTTTTAGATGAGCAGCAACTGCAGCAGTGAAGGTAAACAGGAGAAAGGAAATGTGGCAACAGATTTTAAAATGTGTCTCCTTGGAGCTTTCCTCACTTGTTCTCATGGAAAATGACAGAAACTTGTCAAAAAAAAAAAAAAAAAAAAGAAAGTTCAAGCCCTGGCTCTTTTCTCAGTTCGGGAGTAAGTTATAGAAATGTTCAGACGCTGCCTCCCTAACTTAAAGTGTCAGAAATGTTGGTTCGGGGAGTTTGTTTCCCAAGCTACATGACAATCTGATATGCAGTCCTGATAACTTTAACAGGCAGATTAAGGCCTTGACTCCCAGTGGAGCTGAACAACATCTGGGCTGCATCCTGTTTCTGTAACTTTACAAACTGACCATTCAAGAGTCTTTCCTTTTTCATAGAGAGATTAGCAAAGCTTTCTGTCATGCTGTTCACTGTATACCGCGTGCAACACAACAAATGCCTTCGATGAGAAACTGTTTGAAAATGTGCACCATTTGTGTGGTTCGCTGCGTCCTGCCTCCTCTGTCAAACAGTACTTCAGCCTGTAGATGACATTTTGTTCAAACTTTTTTCTTTAGACACATTCCATCTCATCAGTAGCCCCGCCCACATCCAGTTGATTACTTATATAAAGGCAAATATGTTTTTTATATTAAAAGTTTTTGTTTTTTTTAAATTTTCAGTTTAAATATGTAAATGATGTCTCTTCTAAACTCTTAAAATATGTGCAGATTTACATACAGGACTATGGATATCTCTTTATAACACTTTGTAAATCAGAAAATATTGTCAACAGACTGGGGGAAAAAAATCATTTTTGCTGTGTTTTTAGGAATAAAATGTTGTAGAAGCTCAGACTGTGAATAATACATGAACAACCGCCTCTGTACAAACCTTCAGAGTATAGATAGGACTAAAACTGGAGGAGAGTCTGATTTGTGGCTCAGAGTAGAACAAAAACTCAACATGAGAGAACATGAAGCCATTAAACGTATGTTTTGTAAAATGCCATATATTTTTAAGTGTGAAATTGAGATATCACCAGCATAATTTGCAGTCAATAACTTACATTTAAACAATTATTTTTTATATTATCTGTATATTTTCTGATTATTATTATTATTGTTTAGCATGCAAACTATGTAAAGGATTATGTTGTAGTGTTGTCTTGCATGAATATCCAGTAGAAAAGGCGCGTTAGACATGTTATGAAAGCAAAAATCTTGTAAATGACCAGTGGTTTTACCTGTAGGATCTCTTCTGGAAACACACAAGTTCTGCTGCAATTTTAAGCATCCACACCAACCCAGAGTATTAGAACCTTAGCAAATAGAGACAATAGAAACTTTTGGAAATGCTGAAGAGCCTGGTTTTGATTGAAAACTACTGGGATGCTTTTTAGTCTTCATAGGCAGAAGTGGATGTTTATTTCCACAGATATCTATATTTACTTTGTGACTGGGCTGCCTCCACCCATCCTCCCCTGATTCACTGCGCCAATATCAAGTAAACCTTTTCTGGAAGAAAATAAAAACATCAGTCTTTGTTAGTAGCTGCATTTCCAAATAATTGTCAAGCAAATTTGTTGCAAATGGCTGAAATGTCACAAAAAAAATGTAAAAATGAAAACCAGAATTATGCTTGGTTCTATTACCTGTCTTGAAAGCTACATTACACGCAGCTTTAATAGACACAAGAAGCTGGAAGCAACTAACTGCTCACGGCTAAAAAAACACAAAGAAGAAGACGAAATGAACAATTTTTTGACCATCGACAAGATAAAAATGACGTGAGGTCTTCAGAGATTGAATTCACTTGGGAAAGTTGTAAATATTCTTTCATGTCAGCTGGTGTCGGCCATATTTCGTGCTGTCTGGATTCTCTAGAAGCAGAAATGGGAGTAAAATGTTTGCTATGTCTTTGAAATTAGTTCATTCAAAACAGGCGTTTCCATCTACCATGAAGCTCATTCAGTCTTTTTTTCAGAAAAGCCAATAAACACTTTAAACGAGTGTAACAGCTTTCAATGAAGGGCTGTAAGGTGGCTCAGTGGTTAGCATCGTTGCCTCGCAGCTAGAAGGTCGCGTCCCAGTGAGGACACCCAGGATCTTTCTGCATGGAGTTTGCATGTTCTCCCCGTGCAGCGTGGGTTCTCTCCGGGTTCTCTGGCTTCCTCCCACAAGGTCCAAAAACATGTTGAGGTTAATTGGTGATTCTAAATTGTCCGTAGGTGTGAATGTGAGTGTGCTTGGTTGTCTGTCTCTAAGTGTAGCCCTGTGATAGACTGGTGACCTGTCCAGGGTGTCCCCTGCCTTCACCCTAAGTCAGCTGGGATAGACTCCAGCCCCCCATGACCCTAGTGAGGATTAAGCGGTGTATAGATGATGGATGGATGGATGTTGATATGAATGTTTTCTAATGTAACACTTCAACAATATGCATATGTCCATTCTAGAAACATAGCTACCTTCTTCTTCTGATTACCTGTTTTACAACTAAGCAGGAAACCCCCTGCTTCTTGTTTACACCAGCACCGACATGCCCAGTGTATAAAAATGGTCCAGTGATATGTTTAGAATGAGTCTGACTAAGAGCAGGATTCATAATATTTTCTCTCTTTGCTTTGGTGATAAAGCAGATAAATACACATTCTCCTATCCAAACTCCTCACCTGACCCTCATTATGATCATCCAGCGTGTCTCAGCTATTAGAGCTAATAGCTGCTGTAAAACACTTAATTTATTTAGATTAGATGAGATGAGGGCAAACGATACTCTCTAAAGCTTCAGAGGAAAGCGAGCAGAGGGCAGCGCTAAATTAAACAAAAAAAGCAACAGCCTGAAACACTGAACCAGCAAACTTTTTTCATTTAAAGAGCTATTTCAGCACTTTAAATGTTTTTTTTTGACTAATGACATTTTTTTTTTATTGAGGCACATTTGTGAATATTATTGTGATCCAGAAATGTGATCATTTCCAGGATATGCCTAATAACTTGTGGCTCAATCTCCCATAAAAAAGACCATCAAAATTCTATTTGAGTGAAAATACCCCGATCAGCCAGGAGCAAAACAACAGATTTGTCAGCTAATGTACCAGGATTCCTTCAATTGAAACAAAAGTAGAACAAAGAAAGAACAACGGAAACAAAAGCAGCCAAACTAATTAATTAAATTCAGATTTGGTTTCCTGAGATGTGGCCTGTGCTGTAAAGGTCTGAACTTGTGTTTCCACAGAAGCGCACGCAGACAGATTCCCCACAAACAACAGCCAGCCGTGTCTGATCTACCTGTTGAGCTGCATAGTTTACACGGTGTATCAGAAACAAACATGCTGTTATTTGCCATCTCTGAGCGCTCTGCCCGCGGCTCTGCTGCTCCTAATGAGCCTCCGTCACCTGATGGAGCTCGCTGAGCTGACAGCGTATGAAGAAGCCCTCTGACTGGATGTTCAGCTCTGCAAGTCTGTGATTTATTCAGAATAATTTAACCACATTTTTTACCCTCAGACTTCTTCTTCTTCTTCCTCTTCCTCTGCTACGTCCAGGTGAGGCTGACAGTGCAGGCCAAACCCTGACGAAGCCACCACTGTGTCCACTGCATCAGTATTCTGGCCACACAATGGCCGCTGGTGCAGAAACTGTTGGTCTTGCTGCAGCATGTTTTTGATCATGAATGTGTGGAGGCTGATTTGCAGTTTCATATTAATGTGAATCAAGTGTTTATAGTCTTAAAAATGTTTTTATTGTCCTTTATTTCAGAGTCCAAGTTCAGTCTTGACTTTGTTTTCTGCAAGCAGAGTTACTATTACTTTTTTTTTTTTGGCCAAACAAATTTAAACTTCTTCTCTATCCCTTCACCTCCTTCTTCTTCTCCATTTTCTTCTCCTCCTCCTCCTCCATTCTCTTACCGGTTTCGTCATCATCGTCTTTTCTCCTCCCCCCTCTGTTCTTACTTCTCCTTATTGTCCTCCTCCTCCTTCCTCTTCTCTGCCTTCTTCTCCTCCTTCTTCCTTTTCTCTACCTCCTTCATCTCCTTCTTCCTCTTCTCTTCTTCTCTACCTCCTTCTTCTCCTCCTTCCTCTTCTATCCCTTCTTCTCCTCTTCTTTCGTCGTATTGTTTTTATCATCGTCATCTGTTCTCCTCCTTTTCCTGTTCTTACTTCTCCTTCTTTTCCTCCACCTTCTTCCTTTTCTCTACCTCCTTCTTCTTCTCCTCCTTCCTCCCCTACTTCTCGTCCTCCTCCCTCTTCTTCACTACCTCCTCCTCCTTCTTCCTCTTCTCTATCTCTTTCTTCTTCTTCTTCTTCTCCTCTTCCTTCTTCTTTCCATCTTTATCTTCTTTTTCTTCTTCTCTTTCTGTTCTTATGTCTTCTTCTTCTTATCCTCCTTAACGATTAAATTTTTTTCAGTTTAGAGTTATTTTATTTATTTAATTTTTGTGTGTGTGTGTGTGTGTGTGTGTCAAGCTCATATACTTGCATCGTGTACACACACACACTCGGGATGCTGTACTTTAAGGTGAACACAAACAGCAAACAAAAACAGCCGAAACAACCACCATAAACCCAAAAGCTGTTTGCTTAGGTGCGATCAATTCTGGAAGAGACACACACACATAAACACACCTACAACAACAACAGCAGCAGCAGCAGCAGCAGTAACACTTGTGACTGTCTTTGTTTGTTTAGCTGTAATTAGCTCTGTGACTTCCTGGGACACACTAACAGCATTGTATGTGTGTGTGTGTGTTCTCAGGTGTTATCAGCACTCTGTCTGCTCTGGATCGGGAGGATAAACAGGAGCACAGCATCGAGGTGAGCCGCTCACAAACAACATCTTCACATCCCTTCAGACTTGAGCCGAAATGGGAGGGAACAAAAAACAAATCCGGCTGCTCTGTAATGCATCACAAGTTCAATAAATCTATAACAATACGTGTAGTGCAGGCTGCAGAGGGAGCAGGTATGCGTCGGGTGCAGGTTGTGCTTGTTGTCGACTGCTGAAAACAAGACATCTCGCTGGTGTGTTTTATTATGCTGCAGAGTTGGGAATTAGCAGCTAAAGATCAAATTTTAAATTCCAAGCCGAAGAGCAAGAGTGTATTTTTAAACAGATTCAGCAATATTCATAGAAAATCCGTTACAGCAAAGAAAACACATCCGCAGGACCAGCAAAGTTCAAGTAGAAATACTGTTGCCCAGTGAGTCAGTTTACTTTCTACTTTCTAGGCCTGCTTCAAAATGAAAATGCACTTGTTTTTTTGTTTTTTTTTTACCATTTTTCCATCTTACAATCCTCTCATGTTTTGAGAAAACAGCTTCAATTTCGAGGTAAATCCGCAAAAGTTAATGTCATTTGCCAGAATGAAAGCCTGCCAAGGAGCCACCGTGAATCAGAAAGGAAATAACCGCTAGCAAATTTAAAGAACTGCATCTTCCCTTCCAGCGTTTTATATGGTGGTCAGTGAGTTAGTAATCAGCAGTTATTGGAACAGTTGTCACAAAACAAATCTACCTTTAAAGAGTCATTTGTGCACACAGCTTACAGACCTGTTCCAGACATTTAAACTCCCCAAAATAGCCTAATTTAATAGTAACTTAGTGGCTAAAAAATAAGCATCAGTTCTCTCATGACAACATAAAGTTGAGTTAACAAATAACGATCAAAGGTTTCTTTTACGCTTTTCTCAACTCTCAGGTCATCGTGTCGGATAACGGATCTCCGTCTTTGCGCTCCACCGCCACCGTCGTGATCCGAGTTCTGGATGCCAACGACAACCGGCCGAAGTTCACAGACAAACTGTTTCACGTCAAGCTGCCACAACAGCGGCTCCACGCCGGCAAACAGGAAGTCTGCCGGATGGTCGCACGTGACGACGACGAGGGCGAGAACGCTGTGGTGACCTACAAGCTCCAAGACGGCAGGGATGAGCGATTTGAGATCGACCCAGTCACGGGCGTGGTGACGTCTCATGGTGATTTCTGGCCTGGAAACTACAGTATTCTCACGGTAGGTGTCCAAAACCAGTCTGTCTGTCTGTACACTACGAGATGTGATTTCCATGTGGAGTTGTGTGGCTCAAAAGCAACAACATCGCTCCTGTCTTTCAGCAAAGGTGATAATGAGGCGTTAGGGAAATACTTTCTTTAAAGAGTTGTGCTTCATTTGAGTGTCTCCATAGCGGGCGTGGATCCCACCAGCTCCGCTACACAGACTAAATCACCCGTGTTTAATACCTTGAAAAGTTCTGTACAGAGAGGAGTGAATGTTCTCAGTGTTTGTCATCACTCTGCATTGTGGAGCCCAATGAGGTTCAATCAGGTACAAAAAGACTCAGCGCTTCAGAAAACCTTTTTTTTTTTTCTCTCTTCTGATGACATACAGGGCAGTCATGAAGCACTTTTCTTGACGCTAACTACCTTTACAGCTAATGGAACAATAAAACAGGCATCATTCTGCCTTTATAAATGGCAAAGAAATTCCATAAAATGAACAAAACCAAGAGCGTCTTAGAACATATATCAAAAGTTTCCCACTTTTCCAGCCTGAGCCCATTGGTTTCTAGGGTAAAGTGTTTGTTGAGGACTATTTTCAGTGGCGGATTAATACACAGTTGGTACTTGAGTAAGTATTTCGGACTTTAGATGTAATAAAAAAACACACACACACTTGTTTCTAAGCGTCATACTATGTTATCATTATTCCTTCCTTTCTTTTTCTGCATAATGTCATATACACAGCTTAGCTTAATGCAGTCCAATACAGCAGCTCTGCATTAAGTCCAGCTTTAATGGAGGCTTTAATATTTAGCTTCTGTTGAAACTGTTGATGCAGATTTACCTTTATGATTGACCTGGAGAGTTTGTGCTTCATGCTTCCTGTAACGATGATATGATATTAACAATAATAATGACAATCATCCTAATTTTTACACCACTTTTCAAAATGCAAGTAGGCAAGTAAACCAGAGACAGTACAGTGTGGGAAAAGGTTCAAAGGAAAATCAAACTTAAGGAGACACTTTAAAGATTCAGCTGACTTGATTTGCTTGGTCATATTGTTCCAGAGCCTCAGGGTCCTGATGACAAACATTGTCTTCTTTAGTTTTTTTCACCAGATCCCTGGAACAAACACTAGAGTTTGGTCCGAGGATCTTAAAATGTGCACTAATGGGCACTGTCCTAAAGACCATTTATCTGGAGAAAGGTCGTAAATGTTTTAGCTAAGTCTTCAAATCTCTGTAAAATCTTAATACTTAAAACCTTTTTTATTTTTGATTGTTTTTTAGCAACTAAAAGTTCGACTCCATCAGATTTATCTTTAGTCAGACTCTTATTAAAATGTTCATTTTAATGATTGATTTCAGATTAAAGCTACAGACCAGGGCAGTCCGTCTCGTTCCTCCACGGCTCGACTCGACATTGAGTGGATCGCCCACCCGGCGCCCTTCGCCGAACCAATCACGTTCGAGGAGCCCAGCTTTACCTTCGCTGTCATGGAAACGGAGCCCGTCACTCACATGGTGGGCATCATCATGACGGAGCCGCATCGGCAGAGGTGGTTCGACATCGTAGGTGAGCGGAAACGAATGCGCATACACAAACTCTCGACACTGTTCAAGAAGTTCAAGCTCTGATGAAAAACAAGCATTGCATAAATGAGGGTAACGATCTCTAAAAGAAGACAAACGATGGATAAAAATACTATTAATGTTTATTTGACACCACGCTCAATTTCACACAAGGGGGGAGAAAACAAGTGTGAAAAATCACCTGAGATCAGAACCCACTGATCACTGAATAATGACTTTTCATAGATCACGCAGAGCGTCTCCGTCTGTGCTCCTGTGTGACGTTAAACTCCCGCTGCTGAGGAAATGATATTTGACATTCCCCATATTGCCACTTATACTAAAGTGCTGACTTGTAGAGCGTCGGCTCGAGCTGGAGAGCAAAAAAAAAAAAAAAACAGGTTACAATCATCATCCATCCTTATGAGCCACCGTATAAACTGCAGACAAGTTATTTTCTAAAGGTCAGCAAAGTCCTGCAACAGTGAATGACATTAGAGAACGAGCACGTGGGACAAACGATGTGAGTGAGTGTCAAAGGAGGAAAATCTGCGAATCTCAGTGTTTCCAGACATTCTTCCACGGTGTTATTTGTTTCTTTGATCAACACCACTTTTCCCAAATCTGCCTCATCAGAGGTTTCCTGCAGCGGGGTTCTGTCAGTTCCCTGCAACTTGTGCTGTATGTATGTGGACCCAGCTTCACCTCCTCCTCCTCTCCTGTCTGCACCTCCACGCTACACTTTGACTTTTAACAGTGTTTTTTTTTTTGGTATTCACTGTATTTTCACACCTTCACCCTGTTGTGTTAAATTGCACCTAACTAGTACTAATTTACATGTTGACTTTAAAGAAATAGGCCCAAACTGTTCCATTTGGAGTATCTGAAAAACTCCAGACGTAACGTACCGGTGCACTTCAGACTCAGTAAAACTCTGAGACAAAAGCCGATTCACCCCGAGGATAAAACACCAACACGCAAGCGGAGCAACATTGTATAGGAGTGCACAGACTTGTACATAGGGGAGACAACAATAACTAAAGTAATCCTCTCGCCTTGTTTCAGAGTTGTGGTAGCTCACTGGTTAAGGCTACTGGTTGGAAGGTCAGGGGTCAAGCCCCAGCATCACCAAGCTGCCACTGCTGGGGCTATTGATTTTTTTGTTGTTATCTTTTACTATGAAAAGTACGAAAGGAGAGTTTTCTCTCGCTACATACACAATAACAGGTCAAGACAGGAACAAATTACAGCTTAGTAATGAATAACATAGTAATAAACATGTATTAACATAGTAAAAACACAGAAATAACACAGTCCTAACACGGAAAATAATCACAAACAAAAAGCAATCGAACCAACACGGTGACAGGATTAAGCTAAACAAACCAACCGCAGTTCATTTAAATGTTAAGAATGCATAAATAGTTCCTAGCCAGAAAAGTTGTGAATCTCACTAGTGCCTGTTGCAGTGCACATCGCTCTTATGTTATAGCCCAGGCCTAAGCAGACACAAGAGTATCTGAGAACGGCTCTCGTATGAAGACGAGCCGGTCTTCAAGCATGCTTTTTGTGTGACTTCTCCCTGACCTAACGATTGTGTCGACCTGTCAGATTGGTTGAGTATTTTGTGGTGTCAGACTTAACCAGCAGTATGCGTGGATGTGACATACAGAAATACAAACACACACCAAAAAAAAAAAAAAAAAAAGCATTTTAAAGGACTATTACAACATACCTTTGTTCAGAGAAGTTGTGAACTATGCAGCCCACTAGTGTGATGGGGATTGTTGAAGCCTCTGTGTTTGTTGGGTTCTTTGGCTAAACCTGCTGTTGCCTCCCCGTGCTGCCTGGCAGAATCAGGTCATTTCACTTTCCTGTGAGGGAAAAGACCGAGCGTTTTGCAGTGCTTCTCTTTGTAGCCCCCATATCCTGTCGCTAAGCTGGAAAACTTGAAGAAAACACACAACGGAGCAAACACGGTGACCAGCGATGGCAGAAAATGAGATTGCATTTAGTGTGGAAAGCTGTGAGGATGTACGAAGGGCTTTTAAGAGATTGCGAAGCTGCTTGTTTTCTGTTTGAAAGGTAACTGGCTGATCGTTTAATCCACAGAAAAGACACTTTGCAGCCGTTTAAAATACCTCCTAGACAGAAGTTTCTGACAGAGGAGCAATGTAAGGCTTAGCAGACGCTGGGTGTGGCTTTAACTGACTTCTCTCCCCTTACACGTCAGTTTCAATTGAGCAGTGTTAGTCGTGTATTTGGTCTATGAATACATAAAATATGCTCTTAAAACAGATAAATGTTTAGGTTAAACATGATCAAATGCAAATTACAGATAAATATTATAATCTTGCACATCACAGAAGCTTAAATGTTCCTGGAGTGATGAATGAATGAATAAAGAGAGAAAAGCGATGGAGGCGAGGGGAAGAAAGGTCTCGGTGTCATCGCTAGCAGCAGGACTTTTCTCTCTGTGAGGATAAAACAGCAGCGTTCCTTCTCTCATCAGCAGCCAGATCACCACAGGAGGGACGGCTGGCCATTCCTCCCTCTTCCTCCTCTCCCCCAGTCGTCCTCCTCGCACTCCTCTCAGCACCCAACATTAGGAGGAGGGCTGTGACGGAGAGCTTTATAGAAAAAAGTAAAAGGCCTGAAAACATTTGCGGTTGAAGTGGAAATCAGCCCAGCGACTCTGGAGGTGAGTGCGCGTGCCGTTCCCCCCTCGAGCCTCGCAGGAAAACACATCGTGGTTTTGCCAACTGTTTCCTGCCAGGCGGGGCAGCGCGTGCAGAGAAAGACCGAGGTTCCTCCTGTTCAGTTCGCTGCGCCAAGATCGATGTGTGCCAGAACCCAACGGAGACTCTGCACCCGAGAGGAGACGTTGGGTCGTCTCAGAGCTGCTGACGCCGGATGTTACGTCTGGTGAAATTTGTGGGTGACATTCGTTGTGTCACGAAGCGAAGGAGTCCTGAATTTAGGCAGAATTAGCAATTTTGAAAACAAGCTTCATTCCTCAGTTGCTCACAACAGATTGTTCTCGGCACAGAAGTATACATCAAGCTCGATTAACACTTCTGTGCTGAATCTGCACAGTGGGTGCCTCAGTATCTCCTGTGCATCTTCCCCTAAACCAGGGGTCTCGAACTCCGGTCCTCGAGGGCCGCAATCCTGCAAGTTTTAGATGTTTCCCTCTTCTAACACACCTGATTCAAATGATCAGGATCGTTATCGGGCTTCTGCAGAGCTTGATGATGAGCTGATCATTTGAATCAGGTGTGTTGGAAGAGGGAAACATCTAAAACTTGCAGAATTGCGGCCCTCGAGGACCGGAGTTCGAGACCCCTGCCCTAAACACATCTACACATAATGCTTCTGTGAAACCAAATGTAACATGTAACTTGCTGTTATCATATTTGCTCGTAATGCAAATATAACAGCCGATGTTCTGCTAGTGCAGTCATGTGCTGTTTTTTGGTTTCATAACTCTACCACCAATCTGTGTATAAAGTCAGCTAATAACAGAACCTTTTTATCTTCGCAATAATTTCAGTAAAAGCAACTGTTGTTCTACATTTCTTAGCTTTGATTCTGTTTCAGTGGCACAGAAACCCCACTGCTGACTGGAGCTGTGGTGGTGCGATTGCCAGTATAATCGCTTTTAGCAGTGTTGGCCACTTGATTCAGCGCAGGAGTATAAATCAGGCTTAATGGGTCCACATCTGAATTGCCTGAACGCATTCTAAGTCAGACCTCATTTATTCATATTTAATGGATCTTTTTTGTTTCATTTCCAAATCAGGTCTCTGAGGACCGAAGGTGTTTGATTGTAAAGCCTCCCTTCGAGGCAAGTGTGGTTATTTTTGAGACTATAAATAAATGAGTGGATTTAGTAACGAGTGCCAGGATCCTCACATTTATTGATTTTTCTCTGAAGCTCCCCCTGTGCAAATGCTTTCTTTGTAACAGTAGCGATTTGAGTTGCAGTACAGTAAGTAAATGTGCTTAAAATAGCGTTTTCCAGCAGAGATAGTCTTTTTGTTGTTGTTGTTGTTGTTGTTGTTGTTGTTTATGGTCTGTAATAGAAAATAACTTTGCGGTTGCACTGTCCAGCTGACGGGGCTGTTGCTGCAGACTCTGCCCTAAAGGCTGCTCGTTGCATCAGGCTACATAAAGTGAAACCAACCCTCTGGAGAGCTTTTCAGTGTTTTGGCGGCTGAAGTGTAAACATAGATTTGGGATGCTGTGAGTCAACAAAGTCCGCAATACCACAATAGAAAAAGGCACATTGGCAAGTCCCTAATGTAATTATTGATCAAATGAAGCGGGGGTCATATTACCACGTTATGTACGAGAAAGTTCATTATTTTAATCTACAGCTAATTTTAAGAAATGATTAGTTTCAGTTGAGAAGAAGTAGCCACAAGCTCCGGTGAAGGTGGATGTAGTGAGAGTAAAGAGGCTGTAAGTTTTTGAGTAAATAACTTACATTCCTGCCTTGTTTTATGTTTTGCAGCATGCGGGTGGAACAGCTTTGACAGTTCTGTGTTTAATCAATCACAGTTGAAGTGTTTGTGGAGCCGTTGGATAATTGTGCGTGTGGTCTGAGAACACAACTCCGTCATTATCACTGACAGCCTGTCAACCGTCAGATCAACCGCTCCTACCGTCTTCTCAACGTCACTGCTCTCTAAGTTTTATTTTACTTATTCGCCGCTCACCCTGTGTGACAGGACAGGAGACTGGCTGCCATGATTCAGTTTTATTTGAGCCTATTTCAGTCCGTCTCAGTCTGGTCCACAGTCGTATATCTCTGACCTTCATCTCCGTGTTGGCAGATGAGGGCTGTTGTGCCACAGGACTCCTCTCCCATGCAGATATGATCAGGTATTTATTGCCCTGCTTTACCTTCCTCCTCTCCAGCAGCAGAACACCAGATGCCTATCAGCGCTCTCTGGCCACCAGATAACTCAGGGAGACAAATGAAGACTTCCCCCTCTGTCA